GTTGTTGTGTGTGTGTCTCGCACCCATCTTCGTCTCCATCTCCCGACCTCGGATCGACATCTTTCCATCAACAGAAGTCGACCGCATCGTCCTGGAGTTGTCAAGACGTGATGGAATGGTTCATTCGCGAACAAGGGACACTCCTTCAAAATGGGACTATCTTGGAAAGGAGAGGAAGACCCAGAGGCCGCAGAACTTCCAAGATTGCGGAAATCTTGTAAGCTACTTTCATGTTTAATAAATGGGTTGTGTTGCTTGTAAACGAAGCATCTATCTCTGACTCAACTGCTTCCACATGTTGATTGTTACCGCTCAGCAGTCCAAACGGCAAGGGAGATGATGACGATATATATCACATATTATCGTTCATCGAGTTTTTTCAATTTTTCCCCCCTCGGCCCCCACAAATATTACAAATTTTAAAGAAATGGGTTTTAATTAAACTTAGATATACTATATTTTAAACACTGAAATGAAAACTTTTTGCAGAAATAAAGTTTTCAAAAAGTTTTCATTTCAGTGTTTAAAATATAGTATATCTAAGTTTAATTAAAACCTATTTCTTTAAAATTTGTAATATTAAAAATATAATTTCTCTTGAAATTATTTTAAGCATAATATACTATAATAATAAAATGCTTAAAAAATATTAGTTCTTTATCGTAATTTTGAAGTTTCATTTTAATTTTTGATAAAATAACAAAAGTGAAATTCATATAACTTATTGCCATAAATAAAAATATAATTATATTCACACTTCAATAATAACTGAAATTAATATTGGAAAAAAATTATTAACAGTGTTAAAAAAACATTTGATACACCTAGTAATTAAATACAGCCAGATGTTTAACTCAAGATGTCAGTCTATCACTCTGTGAACCTCAAATTGAATATGAGCAAACAACTTTTCATGAGTGGTCTGTCCCAGATAGGTCAGGACCCATCCCTCACCACCTGGTTACCCCTATTGTGGGGCCAATCCCACAGTATGTAAGAAAAAAAGGCCTTCTTAATACCCACAAGGAAGAAAAGGGCAAAAATAATAAAAGAAACAAAAAATAGTTAAATAAATATTAATTTTATTAATTTTTTATAACAAAAAAATATATATATTTTTCAAATTAACACAAAAGGCACATTTATTAGCCAACATAAAAAAAATAGGAGGAGCAGTAGTAGTTTTGGTGGAATCTACGTGACCATGTAGCATCATACCCTACGGAAGATATGCTTATGGTATGTGGTGACTTAAATGGCCACGTTGGGAGGGCCAAGAATGGGTATGATTGCCATTGCCATTTGGATATGGTACACAAAACAATGATGGTTGTCAAATTCTTGACTTAGGAGAAATTAACGGCCTTGTTCTCTGAAACACTTTTTTCAAGAAACACACAAGTTATTTAGTTACCTACACCAGTGGAAACAGCTACAGCCAGATCTACTACATGCTGGCACAGAGACGTGAATTCAACAATAGTGTCACCGATGTAAAAGTTATTCCATCCGATTGTCTGTCCCCACAGCATAAGTTGCTAATCATCGACATGAAAATCACCACACAATGTTAGGGCAGCCGCGTAAGAGGGCCGATGATAATTAATTGGTGGAAGTTGTGGAAACATGAAGCTGCCATAATCAACAGCTTTACCTTCCCTGAAGCCAACAGATCCTCAACTGACATCATGTGGAATGCGTTCCACGACTCCATCACCAGAGCTGCAAGGACAACCCTTGGCGTCAAAAATTTAGGTAGTTGGTACATTGATAAGCAGACATGGCTCTGGACAGAGGAAGTACAACAAAAGGTGCGGGAAAAAATGATAGCCTTTACAGCTTGGTTTGCCAATAAGATCAGAGAAAACTGGCAATGGTACACTGCAGCCATGCGGGAAGCTAAGAGAGCGGTGGCTGCAGCACGGGCCAAACACCATCAAGGTCTTTACGAGCAACTTGACACACAGGAAGGTGAGAAGAACATCTACCGACTGGTGAAAGTGCGAGCAAGGGCTGTGCAAGACATCGAGCACTATATGTGCGTGAAAAGGATAAGAATGGATGGCATCTGCAGAATAAGAAGGAAATCTTGAGCCGCTGGCACAAATATTTTGATGAGATCTCAAACATTGAATTCCCACATCCACCGATTCCTGAGGGCCAGCCATGATCTGAAGGACTGCTCTGGACCAGTCCTTTAGATCATGGCTGGGGAGGTGTCTGCAGCAATTAGAAGTATGAAGAACCAGAAGGCACCAGGACCAAATGACCTACCAGCCGACGTCTGGAAGCTCAAGGACCTGCACACAGAGGCTACAACTTGGCTAACTGCATTCTTCAATGCTGTGGTAGTCACCGGCCAATCTTGGGCGATCTGGTCCACAAGTATCACTGTACCAAGAACAAGAGCGACCCAGCAGAATGCTCCAACTACTAGCCAATACGCCTACTCTCTCACACCATGAAAATCTTTAAGCACATTATTGACTGACGTTGGCGTGATCATTTGGATCAGTGTCGGCCAGAGTGGCTTTGTGAGGGGCTGTGGAACTACCAACACAATCTTTGCAGTCCACAGGTTGATGTAGAAACACCGGGAGAAAAATAAACCACTATATGTTGCCTTCCTCAACTTAAAAAAGACCTTTGACTGCATACTCTACCAGCTCATTTGATAAGCACTCCATGACCACAGAGTGCCTGAGGACCTCGTCAGCTGGGTCAGAATGCTGTACACAAGTACCAGCAGCTGAGTGAGTTGCGTGGCTGGTACATCTGACAACTTCCCAGTGAACATTGGCGTTCATCAGGTCTCTGCACTGTTGCCACTGCTATTCATTCTTATCATGGACACTATCACAAAGAATATACAGAACAATGTATCTTGGATGCTGCTTTATGCCAATGACATCATGCTTGCAACCACAACTCAAGAAGAGCTACAGTACCAGGTTCAGGCCTGGAGCAACCATTTGAATTGCTTTGGCTTGCACCTTAACACCAAGAAGACCGAATATCTAGAAATTTTTCCAAATGTGGGCACGATCCAAGTCAACGGTGATAACTTATATAAAATGCACACTTTTTGCTACCTCGGCTCAACCCTACAGAGTGACGGGGCATTGACAAATGAGGGTGAATGCGGCATGGCTATAATTGAGAGAAGTCACCAGTGTTCTCTGCGACAAAAAGATGCCCATGTATCTAAAATTGAAAATCTACAAGACTGTGTTACGATCCATCACTCTCTATGGTTCTGAATGTTGGCCATCAACGAGAGCAGCTGAACGACATATTCATTCCAAGCATCCTGCGAGCCATGAGCATCTGCTCATGGCTCGCAGGACGCTTGGTTTATCCTTCATCGACCATATTACCAATGACAAGATATGCCAACAATTTGGCATCACGCCCATTAAGTCAAAAATGAGAGAGACACCTGTGCTGGTTTGGCCACATACAACAATCAGCCCTGGATACAGTTGCCAACATTGCTTACCACCTACAGGTGGTAAGCAATGTTGGCAACTGTAGGTGGTAAGCAACATTACTTACTTGCAATAGTGTAAGTAAGCAACGTTACTTACTTACTTGTAGGTGGTAAGCAATGTTGGCAACTATATCCAGGTACGGCTGCCAGCTACAGCTGCCAGCCACCATGTTGGCAACTGTGTTCAGATACGGCTGCAAGCCACGCAGAAGACTGAAGCAACAATGGCAAGATGCTATCAATACAGACCTAAGGACTCTGCACCTGAACCCAGACGATGCACTCAATCAAACAAAGTGGCATTTGAAGATCCAAATAGCAGACCCTACATCTGTGGGACAACGCTAAGAAGAAAAAGAAAGAAGATAAGAATATATATATTTTACACTAGATTTCAAAGATATTATTAAAAACTCTTGTAATTAGACTTCTAATCAACTACAGTTTTAGGCAGATTATCAAAATATGATATACAATCTAAACAGAAAACACTTTCATACATGAATAAATTATTGTTAATAGATTTTTTTATGTATTATAAACTTACTAGTAGCCCGGGATGCTCCCTAGTGGGCGTTCTTTACAAATTTCCATGAGGCACGGTTCCTTTGACTTTTTTGTTCCTATCAATATGCTCTACAGCTCCGTTGAAGTCCCAATGGTAAGATTTACCCTCCGAATGAAGGGGTGGTGACCCCCAAAACTGTAGACCCCTGTGTGAACAATAAAGTCAAAGAAACCATACCCCTATGCATGACCCTTCATGAGATATAAGCCCCTGAGAATTCACCTATGTCATTTCCAGTCACGTGACACCGTGGTCAAAAGGGAGCCTACCGCGCGAAAAAAAATTAACATGTGCTCACGCATACTCTGAGGGTCGCCAACCTGCATTCGCAGGGTAAATTGTGGCAAACAGGCAGTCATGTGACCCATAGAATAATTTTCGGAGGGCTATATCTCGGAAAGGGTTATGCATAGGGGTATGGTTCATTAGACATTTATTGTTCGCACAGAGGGTGTCGCCACCCCTTCATTTGGAGGGTAAATCTTACCGACCCAATCACGTCATACGGATCTATATTTCTACCTATTAAACATTCTATAAATACTTTAAAATAGTTTAATTTGTTTATTTACCTTCACTTGTAAACCTCGATTTTAAATGTATTCGCCATTTTTTCAACAAATTTCCCGTGAGTCAATGCGCGACGTTCACTGAGTCACGGAATGTTGTAAACGTGTGGTGCAAGGTTAATCAAGGCATATAAGAAGGCAAGGCAAGGCATATAATAATTATTTATACCATTTCGTGGTATAAATAATAAATTAATATTAATAATAAATTCCTATTACAAATAAAAATAATTTATTGTTAATTTAAAATCTTCGCTAGGGCGCCTCTAGTGCCCATTTTTGGCATACCGTTACGCAGAAGGACGGATATTCATTCAATGGGTTATATATATAGATATTATTTATTATGTTTTCATATTTTAAATATTCATACCTTTTTAGATCTAAACAATAAGCAACCATCGCATAAAGATTTTCTAATCCAGTCTGCTCTGTAAAAACCATTGTACTTTGTCGAAAAATATCCGAGAACCCATAAAATAAGATACAACTTGCTGATGAATCATCTCTTCCTAATGAATATAATATTACACAAACTTAATAAAATTATCTGTTATAATTTACCACTATATTTAATAAATTATTATCCAATAATTAATATATAATTATATATAAAATATAGCCACTTTCCTAAAAGATTGTGCAGAGAAGTTGTACAAATTATTTAAAATACCAATATTTTGTAACTTATAAAGTGCCATTCATTTTTTACAGCACAAAGAATGTAACTGATATCTATTAACTATTGATTAAACCAGATGATGACAACTGTAAACTAGAAATGTGCAATAATTGGAATGACAGAATAATTCATTTAACATCAATGTAAAGATAATTATACAGGAAAATCCTACATACAAAAATTCTATATACAGTCAAAAATCATTATTACATTATTAGCTTATGCAAAGTCTACATTAATGGAAAAGTAGATATGTATACACAAAGGAGGATAAGCACTTCAAAGTTAAATAGTTCAGTTAATATGAATTTTATTAATACAAAGTGACAATTTTTTAAGTTTCTTTGACTTTTTATTAATGGGGGTTAACTGAATAAACACCTTTCAATGTGTTGCTAGCTTAATTTTGATTTTTATAGAATAAACAGACAATAAATGTAATAAAATATCAATAAAACTGCAATAATAAAGATATTATATTTCTTTATATAATAAATATAATTTTCCCTATTATACAAATATAGATAAAGCCAGTTCAAAAAGTTTAGAATATTTCATTCTAATAGTTGGTTAACTGTCCTTTATTATAAATTGCAAATTTTATTCTTTTTAGCATACTATCAATAAGTGATTGACATTGTTCAAGACTAATTTCAGACCAAATTTTTGTAAGTTTCTCTTTTAAATCTTGTTTATTGGTTGGATTAGATTCTTGCAGTCAGCAAATGGACAAAATATTTTCAATTGGCGACAAATCTAGCAAGTTTCCAGGCCAATCCAAGAGTTTTATTCTTTTAGATGTAAACTGTCCTTTGGCTTTTTTGTATGTATGACCTTTAATTCCATCCTGTTGAAAGATTACATTATCTTGAAAATGCTCTTCCATTGTTGGGATGAGGAAATATTCTAAAATATCACAATTTATTGTCCTTTTTATAAATCACAATTTTGCAAGCCCATTATAGTCAAGTAAACCCCACACTATAATGTTCGTGGAAAATTTAATGACTTCTTGTAAACAATGTGGATTGTTGGTTTCACATTTCAAGAGTCAAACTTCCTCCATTATTTTTTTTGAAAAATGCAAAATATACTTTTGCCACTAAAAATGACTTTGCTGTTGTTTGAGTATAAAACTCTTATATTTTTTAATGCAGGTTAATCAGATTTTTTCAGATGAGTTTCTTTTCTGGTTTGGCTGCTTTACAACCCATCTTCAAATGACTGTAAACCAGTGATTCCCAAACTTTTTCAATCCACTGCCCCCTTTGTTCCATAAAGTTATACTCAACGTCCCCTAACCCATTTTCTCTTGTGTGAGAAAGGATTGGAAATATTTTTAGGAAAATTTTTCTATGAATTTCACACTTTGTGCCCCTACCGTACATTGTTCTCAACATCTAGAAACCATTAAACACAATGTTTCCTCTTATCAGTTTAACAGAGGAAAGGTAATGGCTTTCAGTGACCCCAATTTTGCCTTTGGTCACTGTTCAATACCCTGCCTACACCGCCCCTCCTAGATTTACTCATCGCCCACAAGGGGGCATTATTGCCCACTTTGAGAAACACTGCTTTAAACCATTGTTTTTGAAATTGGTTTTCCAATCACAGATTGCATTCTTGTGACATCTGTAAAATAAAATAGACATGCAAGCTTGTGTGTCTATTTTGTTTTACAATTTTTTAAGTGCTGATTTCTCTCGTTTCTGAAGTAAATTTTGGATGACCAGAGCATTTTCTCAACATTTAAACTTCCAGTTTAATTAAATTTTTGAATTATTTTTTTCACTTTAGACTGCAATTTACTTTCCTCACTATTTCTAATTGCTTAATATTTTCTTCCTGAAAATCAATAATTTTGTCTCTCTGATTCAGGCTTAATTGTCATTTCTTGCCCATGCTGTTTACCCTGCTTTTGTGACAAATGTTTTATTGTAATTTATACAACACTACTTGTGATACAATTTACATAATTGCAGTAAATTACAAGCTGTATTACTTATAATTGGACAATATTTATTAATTTATCTCATATTTACTCTACCAGTATACTTTTTTTAACACAATTTCAAATATTCTAAATCTTTTATCATCTGTTCACTTAAGTAAAAACATCCTAGAACTCACTAATCTCTTATGCCACATTATTTTTGCTTAAAAGACATGACTTTTAAGCACTTTATTTAGAAATTAATATTTTTAGTTTATAGCTAAAACACAAGACTAAATTTTCCCTTCATTAGATTTTTTCATAATTTTTTAAGTTTACATATTTATTGTCATTCAAGAATATGCAAATTGTGATAGAGAATTATTCTAATTATTCTAAACTTTTTGAAGTGACTGTATAAACAAATTCAACTATTCAAACTGAGTATGCATACATATCCAGCAATAAATTACAAAACCAGTGTTAACCAGTCATTGTTAGACTAAAAAGACCATCATGGTTTGAATGCAGCTGTTAAAACAAAGTTCAAACAGAAGCCAGCCATCTTGAATAAAAAAAAATCATGAGGAGGGGCAGAGACAAAACTCGGATAATGTGTAAGCTTTCTGTAAACTTTAGTTGATGTGCATCCATTGGATATAATAAGCAAACTTCTTGTTCACTGTCCTGTTCCAAGTGGAGGTAGATGCCAAAGGGTTTGGTGTTGATTTTATGCATGAAATCTTGATAACAAATTTTTGCTGATCATCTTTGATATGATTATCAAAGGTGGGAAGGATGGAAGCCTCAAGTTGTCAAATGACCAGTTCACAAAGGTGTCTGAGAGGGGGTTACCCATAGTCATGCCCCTCTCACACACTTTTTTGCTTTTGAGAGCATGACTTTTCTGCAAGATAAAAGTCATGTCTTTTAAGCAAAAAGAATGTGGCATAAGAGATTAGTGAGTTCTAGGATGTTTAGGGGGTGCTTAATAGAGTCCTGAACATTATTAAGAAGTTACATAGAGAACAAAAGAAGGATTCAATGTGAATGGAAGGCTAGAGAGACTGAAAGTCACATACCATAAAATATATATCGTCTTGGAATGTGAGGCATTCAATTAACTCTAGAGCAGGGGTCTTCAACTTGGGTTCTGCAGAACCCTAGGGTTTCCTGGAATGTTGACAGGGGTTCCGCAAGTGATCACTATTTGCTCAGCCAAAACGCACGTAAAATGGAAATCGTCTATACAAGGAATTTTTCATGTAGGAATGGGGTAGTGGACTGTCTTATTAAAATATTAGATTAATATAATATTTAAGTAAAAATTACAATATTAATATAAATTCTTAAAAAATAAAAAGTGCCATCTAGAGCAGGAGTCTTCTTCAACCTGGGTTCCGCGGAACCCTAGGGTTCCATGGAACGTTGACAGGGGTTCCGCAAGTGATCACTATTTGCTCAGCCAAAACACACGTAAAATGGAAATCATCTATACAAGGAATTTTTCATGTAGGAATGGGGTAGTGGACTGTCTTATTAAAATATTAGATTAATATAATATTTAAGTAAAAATTACAATATTAATATAAATTGGATATAAAATGGCAGTTGATTTTAAAAAATAAATATAAATAAACATTTTATGGATAAAATAAAATCTTGAAATTCGGTAAAAGTCACGTGCTTCAAATACACCAATCAAGATGCATGACGTCACATATTAGTTCTGTTAATCTCATTCTGTCTGTTAAATACAATCACATACAAGTGAGTATTTATTTTGTTTTTATATCATAATTGATAACTCTTATTTATTTACAATTTAATTAGACTACTGTAGCAATAATGGATACATGGTTGAAAACTGGTAAGCTTCATTCCACAGTTGCGGGAACTAGTTTCGCTACTACTGTTGAAAATGAACCAGATATTAGTACCAAAAAGTTGTCTGTTGATATGGATTTACCCAATCTGTATCACCAGATGAACCCACATAGTACTAATAATAATAATATAAATATATGGGACCAAAAAAACATAATTTACAAACTCAGCTGCAACTGCACTAATCCCAAGTCTTATATAGGTGAAACTGGTAGAAATCTGAAGACCCAGTTTAAAAAACACATAGCTGCGATCAAATATAATAATTGTAACTCAGCTGTTGCTGTTCATTGTAACAATGAAGGTTGCCAAATCTTAAAAGAAACTGTAAAAATTGTCAAAAAAGAATTACATATACAAAAAAGATGGTGGTATCTTGAGATCCTTAAAAACAAAGACAGTGTAATGAATAATAATATTGGTCAAAAGCTACATGAAACTTGGTATACATACTTGACCAAGAGAAGCCCAGAAGGGGGTGGCGGTAGTGCTTAATTAATGTGTTAAAATATGGCAACCAGCAAGGTACTCATATGTCTCACTTTCCCTTCCTCCTTCACTCTTCTACAATTCCCTAACCCCTCAAAAACACCTGTTTTTTCGATCCTCCCTTCCCTTACGTCCACCCTACCCACTATCTCTCTCCCCTTTTCAAGTTGATGCCGTCCTAACGCATCTTCTCCCACTTACAATTTGTGGACCATCCCACCCTGTGAAACTCTACTGTAAACTAAAACAATCTCGTTCTGTTCCCTTTATTTTAATGGTGCACTAACCTCACTTCATCATACTGGTTGTTCCAAAAGGTTTCTATTACCCTTACTGTAACCAAGATCAAAGTTCCCAAATTTTATAATATTAACTCAACATTGTGTCATGTATACTGGGTTGTTTTTTCCAACACTACGTATCAGGCCGTCATGTTCACTGTAAGTTCAAAAAATTGTTTACATCTATGTTAATCGTTCCCTTTTGTAAATCATTTCCAATTTAATCATTATTGTAGCTCATATCTGTTGATCAATAATCACCATCCATATTTTATCTAATGTCACAACTCCTGCATTTCTCATCCATCCAAAAGAACATTAGGAAACATTCATGTAAGTTTCCTAATGTTCTTTTACAATTTTGTAACATTATAGTAAAAATTTTGCTAACTTGTATACATTATGCTAATTTTCCCTGTATAGTTGTGACACAAAAGTTGAAATGGGATATAATTATCTGAAATGCATACTCAAATAAATAAAAAGTCTTTCTACAATTTGTCCTCCATTTCATTGATGATGTAATAAGTCTAGCGGAAAAGAAAAGCCATCTTAGCACTCGTATATTTGAACATAAGACTAGACAAGAAGCATATCACATAAAATAAAACCTGATTCGCTACCTCACTATTCATTGTCTTATTAAGATGTTTGTATTAAGATTAAATAAAGATACAAGAATAATTTTGCAAATTTGAGTAGAAAAAAGCTTTGATAAACTATTTTATCTGCTACTTAAACATGAGGTTCCTTCAAGAAAACCATGAGCTTGAAGGGTTCCTAAAAGTGTAAAAGGTTGAAGACCCCTTCTCTAGAGTATTGGTGACAATTGGCTTCAATATCCTAGTTTGTCAAGTCAGGAATCCATTCATCTGATACTCAAGACAGGGATAAGGAACTCCAAACTATCACTCAGTATGTCAGACTGGACTACTCTCCAAATATCATCAAAGATCTAATTTGTCACCATTCCCCTGTCACTACCATCACACCCAACAATCATGTCCACGACACCGTACATAAAGCTGTTACATAAGACAGAAGACCAACTGCTGTGTACAAGATTGCCAGAAATAATAACTTCTGATTAGCTTTCAGAAGTCCCTTAGTTTTCCCTCTCCTCTGCAATGCTAAAGAAAGATCATTCAGATATGCACCTCCACCCTGTATGCACTCCTACTATCTTCATTACAGATCACCAAGCAAACTACAACTTAGAACACGAGTTCTACAGGGTGACCTTTAAACATTCACCTCAAAGAATATCAGATTTCCATCATTAAAGGGCTTGCCAACACACATTATCAACCTTTGCCACTGACCCCAACATCAAAGTACATTTTGACCGAGCATATCTCCTACATAGCACCTCCCGTAAAGAATAGCTTAGGTATTTAGAAGTTAGAAATTTACAAAGCTGCCAGAAAAAATGTAGCTATAAACATTATCAAAATACTCCTTCATCCTGCATAGAAGTCATTCTGCAAAGTTTAATCTTACAACCCTCTTCCCTCATATCATCTCTCTTTTACCACATGCATGGCAATGATCTATCATGAATAATTCTTATTTGAACTGTGTTTTAACATCTGCATTCAAACTGCAAAGGTCTTTTATCCTGACAATGACCATTCATCATAGATAAAAACATTTGCTTTTATGTAGTATTTTGTAGTTTCTTGTGGATATTGGTTTCATGTGTAGTGCTGATATATAAATAATATTCAGGATAAAATTCTTTTGTGTTTAATTATAATTAAAGCTTTAAAATAAATTAATTTATAATTTCAAGTTTTGATGATAATTGTTTAAAAAAATTATGTATCATAAAGAAAAATAATTGAAATATATTAAAAATAACCATAAAAACTCCACACAATTCAAAAACTACTTATTAAATATTTACTCCATTAAAGCATTTTATAATTAGTTTTATATCAACATTAAAATGAATACCTGCTCTTCCACTTTCTTGATAATAATTTTCCATTGATTTTGGAATTGAATGATGTATGACGAAACGGACATCTGGTTTATCTATTCCCATACCAAAAGCAACAGTAGCTACAACAACTTGAATTTCATTTGAGACCCATTTATGATGAACTTTACTTCTAGTTTTGGCATCTAACTGAGCATGATAAGGCTGAGCTTTAATACCTCTTTTAGTAAGCTGAGATGCAATTTCTTCACAATCTTTGACGGAAAAACAGTATATAATACCTGTTGAGATCACAATATTATTATTAGTATTTATTTCAAACATCAACTATAATAATATTTGTATGATTGTCTCTGTCTCAACCGAAACAATTTTTGTAAAAACTTTGAAAATTTAACTTCAATTTAAACTCTAAAATACATCTCCAACAAAAGAGGGTTTTATTACTCTGCTTATTGAAAACTATAGGGCAATAAAACTCTGTTTTGCTGGAAATTTAACTGTATTTTAGTGTTTTATAATATTTTTGCTTTTACATATGTGTATAAATATATATATTTTATAGTTTTGGTTATTTGCTTATATATATATATATATGTATATATATATTAGCAAATAACCACAAAACTATAAATTGACAAACAATCATTTTTTGACTACTTAATTTAATAAAATGATTTTTACACACATGCTTTTTGAATACTTCATACAAATTGTTTGCAGTTTCATTAGAAATTATGAAACAGCTATAAAACTATTCTTTTGTAATTGTTTTTATTTTCTTTTCATAGTACTTCCTTTCACTTAAAATTATTTTTATGAAAAAATATGCTTGGAAAGTTATTTTAATTATTTTCTCCTAAATCTGAAAATTTGTGATGAAGTAGGCAAAACATTTGCATACTGTATTTACTCACGTATATGACAAGGTTTTTATTCATTTTTCACTGTTTCAAAAACCTAGGTCATCCTATACAAGCGAGCAAAGGATTCTTTGAATTTTTGCAAAAATTTTTGTGAAACATCTATAGTAGCATGTATAGTCATGCTGCCATTATAGCAGAGTGCTATCAACATCAAGGTGAATGTTTCTTTCAAAGAGATGGTCCAAAAATAGCTTTAGGGAAAGGAATGACCACTTGCTATTTCTGACTTGTTAAATGCCGGTCTACAGTCTATTTCTGGTAAGTTGGCACCTACTGTAAACAAACTAAGACACATCTCCATTTGTTTATTGGTTTGAACCTATGTCCATCAATTAGAAACTGTGTTGCATCTCATTCATCCACAGATAATAATTCCTCATTATTTATAAAATCATTAATGAAATACTGGTCACTTAGCAATGATTATACAGTACTTGTAGTTATTTCATATTTGTTAAATTGGTATTTTTAATGAATATTTATACATTTTGAATCATTAAAAATAAACTTTTTCTGGTAATGTGCATTATAATCTTTTGGTTTTGCTACATGGGTATCAGTTGTGTGGAAAAGCATTCTTCAAGAGCTGATAGCAGTCATTCAGGAAATACTGAATTTCAACTTCACTCGACAGATCAGAAGGCAATGCTTTATGGTGAAGTGAGAGTAAAAAAGAGGAGAGTTGTAATGAAGCTTTGGAGGGTGAGTCCGAGTAGACAAAAGGTTATAGCATCAAGAAAACATGGTTGTTTGCCTTAATACATACATTTGATAATATTTTATTTGTGATTAAATGAAATAAAATTAGAATTGTATTAATAAATCTAATTTTCTTTATTTTGATCTTTAGAGTCACATCTTGTCCTATATGTGAGATCGTCTTATATGCAAGTAAATATGGTAAATACTTTTTATCTTAAGAATCAAGTGATAAAATTATATGTTTCTTTCAAAAATTTCCTTTTGTAAGTACAGGGTATTTACTTTGAAATTCCATAATTTTCATTCTTAATAATTTAAACTAGATACTCTTTTTATTATAAACAACTGTATAATATAAATACAAAAATTTCAAAAGTTTACTTTGCTATATATTCAACATGACTGCCACACTTACTTCAGACAGTGTATTTGAATGCATATGCTGTCAAAATATTCAACTGAGAATTTCTTAATTGACTGTTCATTTTGTTTGTGTGCTTTGCAAAATCTGTCAAACATATAATGGTAAATCACATTCCATTTGTTAAGCTGCAATTTGAAAAAATTGTAGACCTAGAAATTCCCACTGTCGTCCATCTGTCTGTCTTTCCTTAATCTTCAGAACAGAGTTACATGAGATACATGAGAACAAAGATACATGAAAGACAACACTAGACGTGGAAATCTTATGAGCAGGAGATCCTGATTAACTATATAATATATTCCAATGCAAACTGGAAGTCACGTTATTTCAATTCAAAAATTTTCCCCTGAAAGGTATTAGATAGATGACCGGCACAACTCTACTATTAAAGGAAAAGTATGATGTACAGGGGCAAGCCACTACTATTTTGAGGTGGAAAGCATATATTTTAAATTATTGAAAGTAGATCCCTCTGTATAATTGACAATCTCCACCTGGTTAAATCTGATTTATATCTCAAGTGCTTCTTAAACTGTGATTGAAGAGTTTTAAAGAACAACATTGGGTGTTCTTTGGCAGTGTTTTGAATTTTTATTTTCATATCTAGGAGAACACATTCGTATTAGCTTTTGGTAGTATTTTTGGTAGACTTTAATTATTGCACTCATCATTTGTTCTCACATCTTATGTTTCTTCTCCATTTATTTTGTCCAGCTTTACAGTGCCAATGTATTCCTCTGTTTTGAAAAATTTGTATTGTTCAATCATCTTTAGGAATTTTTCAGCTAATTTACTTCTAATTAATTTTGTTTACAAGAGATTTTTCCAAGTGGTTCTTGTTTTATATACTGTTATAACGAACACAGATATAATGAGTTCACAGTTATAACAAGCAAAACATCATAACAATTTTAATTTACATATATTTCCATACATTTTCTCATGGTTATAACAAGAGTACTTCATAGATATACAAAGCAAATTTTCAGTAGCTATGCAAATACACAAACATTCTTAATTGTTTAAGAACTAAGAAATGCAATACTGAATTCTTGTAATAGCTAAAACTAAAAGAGTTACTTAGTTTTATGACCACTAGATAATTAATTTTCTGATTTGCATGGATTACATTTATCACTTATGTTTCTTTCTTTAAATATGAATAAAAACTAGACTCCTTAATCAATTCTAGTGTTACGTTTTCTTATGGCATCTCATGAAGTAATCTAATTTGCATAAGACAAAAATTTTTAATATCTCTATATATTAAACAATGAAATGGGAAAAAAAACCTGTCAATTTTAAGCTAGGCCATACTATCAGAAATAATTTATTTTCTTGAATATAAGTGAATTGAAAAAGTTATTATATTTTAACAGTTAATCACTTTAAAAAATTTGGATTCAAACATGATTATCGTGTAAACACATGTTCTACCAATAGAATGTGGTTCACATAGAGCTAGTATAATATACAGAAATAGGATATTAGAATGTTAGATTATATTTTAAATTGTTACAATAATAATAAAAGTATTTAATTACCTGATGATTTAAAAAATTGCTTTTTAATTATCACTTCCATATCATCCACTACATCTTTACTAGCAGAAGATTTGTATTTGATCTAAAAAGTTATAAAAAATATATGTTATTTTTATCAATTCAGCAGATATTATGTAAAATATAAAAAGTATTTTATTAATCTTATATCAAATATCATTAAAATCTATTCATTTATTGATGTTAATACTATTCATATGATATAGAACATAATACATCTAACCGATATTGTACAAAACATAAAAACATGGTATTTTTAACCAATACCAAAATGCTTACTTCAGGAAGCCAAATCTTTAATTAAATAATAAGAAATGTTTTTGTCCTGACCTACAACAATCTCAGCTTACTGTTATTTCATATAATAAAAATGTATAAAAAAAATTAATTTTGCAATTTCAACAATAACTAAAAACTTTTTATTTTTCAAAGTTTGCTAAAGTTATTTTTGGATGCTCTTCCTATAAAAGATATGCTTTAATTTAATTCGTATAGAATGTATCTTCAGTAAACAAATATGAATATTGTTAAAATTGAATCAATAAAACTTCATTTATATTTATTTCAAATAACACAATAACTTAAAATACTACTGTATTTATTTTGACATAATCCCTTAAATTATAAAATGCTACTTTTATTACATGAATATTAAAGATAATGCATTAAAACATGAAAAAAATTGTTGTACAGTAATTGTTTCAAGTAATGTACTTTATAAATATTTAAAATTACTAAACAAACTACCGTATTTTCCAGTATATAAGATGATTTTTTAACCCAGGAAAATCTCAAAAGTCGGGGGTCGTCTTATATGCCGGGTGTTGTCATATATGGCGAGTATATCCCAAACTCTATATTTTAACTGTAAAAGTCAGGGGTCATCTTATATGCCGGAAAGTACGGTATTTATTTACTTAATGTTTTTTCTAACAATTGTATAATCTCTCTAATTTTGAAAATATAAAAGAATTTTAATAATATTTTATTAATTTTTGTATTTTCTGATAATTTGCCTGTGCAATCAAATCTTGTAAAATTTCAAGAATAATTAGTATTTATAGTTAAAATATGAGGGTTATTTTTTTCAACCTCCATCGACCCAGAATAAAAAACAAGAATGAAGAACAAAACCACTTTATTTGTAAAAAGTAGTTACAGTCTACACCTATTTTTCCACATAATTGCCTTGTCGATTCAGGCAGACATCATACCATGACACCAGCTTTTGTATACTCATGTCGAGAACGTTGCTGCCAGACCATTCAGCCAACCTTTAACACTGTCAGTCAGCAGTATACAGTGTGGACCTTGAAATTTGAGGAAACGCCTCACTGAGCTCAGAAATCATGAACCAATGCCTTTCTCACACCAATTAATCCACTTTGTCCACCAAATCGCCAGTCATCTTACACTTCCTCCCTTGACCACCCTCATCATGAATGTTGTCATGTCCTTGTTTGAATTTCCTGCACCATTCATGCACACATCCATAGCTCATGAGGTTCTCACCATACACATTACACATCCTTCGATGAACACATCCTCCATTCAGCCCTTCAGCCTGTAGAAATCAAATTACTGCTCGTACTTCACAGTTGGGAGGAGACTGGATTGGCAGCATCATGTTTACGTGTTTACTGCAGAGTAGCAAATGTCTAAAAGAGCTTGGCACAATGCTAAGTGGTGAGGGAATATAATACTTATTAGGTGTGCATCCTGTGCCCGTCTCACATGCTTCCAATTTTTTTTCATGTGTTAGTGGAGATTGAAAAAAACCCTCATATTTAATTTATTAATATCACAAAACAGACACTAAAAGATCTATAAACAGATAAAATAACTAAAATAATCATTTAAAAAATGTTAAGTTATGATCATATATGATAAATGGGCAATTTGTCAATACAAAAAGTAATGTATCAATCAAATTAATCAAATCAGCACAATAATTTAGTATCGTGTTAGGTACAGTATAACAACATTTGCATTTCTTCTATTAATTTTAAGTTTTTGTTCATTTTTACTTTTATGTCTTAAACAGCTGTTCAATTTAAAAATTTAAGCCTTGTTAATATGTATAATTTAATTTATAATTCACTTAATTCAAATGAATAATTATATTATTCTGTTTTTCTGAATTCATTTTCTAAAAATGTAAAATAGTCTGTCTATATATTTTATGGTAGTACTACCATAAAATTATTAATATATTGATTGATTAATTTAACATGGTAATATTTCTAGTCTTGTATTTATTATGATAAATAAAAACTTTTTTCTTTTCCAGTAAGCATTTAAGGTACTGACAAACATTTTTGACCTAATTCAGAGAACAATGACAGATATTGTTCAATGACAGATCTGATGTTGGCTTATGAATTGGGCCAAAAAATTTGTCGGTACCCTACACTCTGGAGAAAGAAAAAAATATTTTTTATTTGTTGGTTAAGCTTTTTCTGCTTTTGTTATTACTATTAGTATTTATTGAGACATTATGACTGTTGGCCTTTTACAAATATCTTTTTAACAAACAGAACAAAAAATAAAAAAAAACAAAAACAAAGAAATTATTAATACATTAGACAACTATTGCATATAATGTTTAGTTGCATTTTTTCTTCTCTTTTTTCTTTCCCTTTATGAATAATTATTTGAGTTTTGACATCACAGATATTTCTTACTCTAATTACTCTTGTATAAATTAATTAAAGCTTCATTTTCATTTGATATAATTCTAAAAAACATTAGAAAATAACTATCTTTCAATTTCTTTAAAATTATAATACCTCATAAATTAGATTTGGTCTATTGAAAGATGCCTTAAGAACAAGACAGCCTTCTATATTCAATATTTTTTGTACATCTACTATTACTCTAGAAGTTGCTGTTGCTGTCAATCCCAAAATTGGAACATTTGGAAATTGTCGTTTCAAGATTCCGAGAAATTTATAATCTGTAAAAATAAAAATACTCCATATTAACATGTACTGAACAATAATTAATTTTACATTCTATAGTATTTGAGCACGAATTATTAATAGGAATATCTTATATTAATTAGATGAAAATAAAGTTAACTATAATTCATAATTTTTCAATTATATTTTATTAGTATTACAAAATACAACAACAGTTTTTCAGAACTGAACAACAGAAATAAATAACAATTATAAAATTATCTTGAAAATATTCTCTGAGAATTGTAATAATCTATTAATATCTTTTTAAAATATTATTAACTGTCATAACAGTTATCACAGTTTTCCACAGATTGATCAATGAGTCAAAAAAATGTATTAAATATAGTAAATCCCTGCATAATGTAATACTTCTGTTCTTTTTGTTTAATGTTATTCCTCCATATGAAAATATTTAATAATTGTAACGATTAATGAACAATAACTCATTAATCAATTATATATATTGGGTTGTTCAAAAAGTAATTTCATTTTTTTCTGTGGAAAAAGAAACAATATTTTTATAATAAATAAATATTTTATTGAATTATATATCAACCATTTTGTTCAAATACCTGTTGTCATTGTTTCTGATAGTAGCATGATTTCACATTCATAAAAGTTTTGTTCGTTGCTTACAAAAAACTGATCCAAGTGATTTTTGACATTGTCATTTCAAGTAAATGTCTTACAGTTAAAAAAATTTGTATAGACCAGAACAAGCAATAATCTGAGTGTGCTCTATCTGGTGAATATGGTTGGTGTGATAGAATTTCCCATCTAAGTTATAAGAGTTTCTGACGAGTTACCAAACTTGTGTGAAATTTGATATTATCATGGTAAAACATTACACCTGTTTTGTTGATCAATTCTGGCTGCCTTTTCTGTTTGATGATAATACTCAATTTGTTTACTCGATGGCAGTATACTTTCAAATCAATTGTTAAATTGTCTGGTAAAAGCTCCAAAAAAAATTTCCTTAAAATCTCACCAAAGAGAGCATCTCTCTTTAAGAACACGTGGAACCCATATATCTAGCTTTGAAACAAAACCAATTTGTTTCAAGTAATCATAAACGGTTCAATTTGACAAATTTAATCTCTTAATGATTTCACGTGTTGTTATTTGGCAGTTTGATTCAATCAGTACCTTAATTTTGTTTTCATTGTCTTCAACTGGCCATCCAGAACATGGTGCATTTTCAATATTAAAATTGCCAGAACAAAATTTTGTAAACCAGTTTCGGCACTGTCGTTCTGTCAATACATCTTCTCCATACACGTCTCACAATTTTTTTCTCGCTTGAACAGCATTCTTACCTTTTCAGTAATGTGAGGGTCGGACCGAATAAAATAAAATTAAATTAAGGAGCTCCAATTAAATTAAATATCTTTATTAAAGAGAAACCAAAAAAAAAAACTTCATTTTTCGAAATTTTACGAAAAAGGATATATACATTTCCTTCCCATGGAGCCGTTTCCTATCTCTCTTCTACCGAAAAATGATTCATGAGGAACTTATCCTAAAAATCGCCGATTGGTGAAACCCAGTAACGTGACGAGAGGGGTGATGACGAGAAAAAGGGGTCCGTCGTCGCTGTCCGTGAACACGATCCGTCATTACCGTTCGGGATCGCCGAAACCCGTGCCGATCCTCATCGCCGCCGTCCATTCCTCAAGACAACTTGTCCGATCCGGTCAGAAAACGTTTGACCGTCCGATCCCACATCGTAGAGGTATGATACCCATAAATGTAAACTCTCTCTCGGCGCGTTTCCCTCCACTGTCCGCTCGAGATAAGCTCAATGTATTTATGTTAGTTATGTTATCGTCTCAATAAATGTTGTTTGGTTGTTAAAAGTCGTCTTTATTTCGAGTATCGCTCACACTTTACCGACGACCCCTCTCACCTCCTCCACTCGACCTGACAAAAGAATCCCGACTTTATGGGATATAAAAAACATTTTCTAAGCCATCCACTGACCAGTGGGCAGTTCTCACCGAACTGTTGCCTATCAAAAAGAGGTACGACCTCGTCCTACCTCAGGCTACCCACAAATTGGTTTTTCAGGAGTGGGGTTAGACTTTCTCGAGATATCGGTAAAGCAGGAAAAGGCGATATTCGAGGTAAAAGAGCGATTATAGTCGAGTTAGGGACTGGTAGATTAGGAGAATTATTAGAAGAGAGATAGGAGATAGATTTAAGACTAGGAGAGATGATGGAGGACGATCCACAACCAGCGGCTGCGGCAGAAAACCCTAATCCTAATCCAAATCCAAATCCTACTCCAAGCCCAATTACCTTGGGAGGTCTGGGAGGAATTATTCCTTTATTGCCGGTTTTCTCAGGAGAAGCGGGAGGTCTCCGAGTAACGGATTTTTTTGATTCCTTGGCTGATGTTACAAAAGTAGCGGCATGGTCCAAAGCGCAAATGTTGGCGGTAGCCAAGCTAAAACTTACTGGTATAGCTCGGGAGTTTGTACGAAAGGATCATAGAATTAAGGAGGTAGATGATTTTGAGGAATTTAAACGAATAATGTTAACCCGATTCGACAAAGAACCCTTTTTGTTCCGATTAAATAGATTTTATACGTGCGTACAAAGAAAAGATGAGGACGTACAAACGTATGCTGCTAGGCTTCAAGCATTAGCTATGGAGATAGAGATTACGCCGGAACCCGGGGCAGATGACACTGAAACAGCAATGATTCGGCGAATTCAGTGAAAAGAATTAGATGAGAGGTTAAAAGTACAATTCCTAAATGGAGATGATATTGGAATTAGGCAACGTACAATGTCAAGAGAGCCAGAGACATTTGATGACGCTTTAGAAGCGGCGATTAGTGAGGAATCAATTGAGGAGCTTACCGCACACCCTCTGGGGATCATACGAACTGTTAGGGAAAGTGAGAGATCACCAGATTACCGCTCAAGAGATAATTTGGAACAATTAACCACCGCGATGGAGGAACTTAAGGCCAGAATGGATAGGTTAACACGAGGATCATCCTTTAATAATTCAAGAAACCCTATAGGCCGACAAAATAATCGTGGAAATTATAATAATCCACCTTTCCGGCGAAACGAATATCATCTGGCTGCACCCACTCGCCGATTAGAGTGACCGCAACCCCAACGTAATCCCAATCAGAACTCGCAGGTCCGCCGAGATAATAATAATAATGAGCGCTTTCCGCGTCCAAGAAACGATTCTCTACGGAGGCGCGAAACAGAAGAGGACTGAAATCAAGTCCGATTCCGAGATCAACCTGCAGAGGAAACATGAACCAAATGGAGAGGCAAGGTTCGAAGCGTTGATGGTCGACAACCTCGATGTAATCAACGAGGAAACTCCACACACCCTTATTCTATATCTAAACGGAGACAGCGATCCTTAATATATGGAAATCGGCAGACCCATAGTAATCCGCAAGCAAGAAAGCGAACCCTTTCTCCTTTAAATTGGACAAAAAGTCAATCCTTGCCCAACGAGGCTTTCCTCGAATGCTATATAGGCGAAACCCCAGTACTGTACAGATCGATACAGGGGCTAAAGTGTCACTTTTATCTAGAGCCTTTGCCAATAGGATTAAGAAAAAGATACCTCTCGATCGTAATCAAGAAACAGATCTAAGAAGCGCCACGGGTCATCCCATCCAAACTTACGGCATTATGAGTCCTATTTTCCAAATAGGAGATTTGCAATTTCCGTTTGCGTGTTGTCTAGTAGACATAGATGTTACTTATCCATGTGACGGAATTATCGGTAGAGATATGATCACCGAAAAGGGATTCCTTATTGATTTAAAAGGTGGCGAAATGATCATTCCCCCTCGAACAGTGATACCCTTCCTACAATCGGCAAATTCTAAAGAAAAACCCGAGAAAAACCCTGAGATAAATAGAGAAAGGATACTCGACAATAAGGAGAGTCGAAAGAGCACTAAATTAGAACCCACTCACTTAGTTGAGGTTACAAGGTCCAGAGAGAGACTACATTTACAAGCAGAAACGAGGTGGAAAGGCAAGATAAGAACAACAACCTTAAGACCCAATCCTATTATATTAGTCTACATTAATAATATCCCCGCGAAAATGCAAGTTGATCCTAGAGTGGAACGTACGCTCATATCAAATGACCTAGCAAATAGATTGAAGGGGAAGGCCTCTATCAAATTTGGACTTAGACAAAAATTGGGAACCGTTTTAAGTAAGCCAATTACCGCTATAGGAACAGCGATGCCTACGTTTAAATTACGGGGAAGGAAACTGTGCATACCGTGTGCTATCGTACGAGTCGAGGTCACAGCCCCGTGTGAAGGGATCTTGGGCCGAGACGTTATTGAAGCGGCGCATCTAACGGTCGACTTTGCTAATGCACAGGTGTTGCTACCCAATCTAAAGCCTATACATTTTTGCACACCTGTACGGCCGCGCAGAAGGAAGAAGAGGCAGAAAGACCTAAATAAAATGGAGAAAAACTCTTCGGACATCCTACAAATTGAACGAACAGCTCCCGCCGAAAGAGAAAAGAGAGGAACCAGACAAAGACGGAGAGCAAGAGGAAAAACTGCAACGCATAGAAAATTTAAGCGACCGAAAATACAGTGGGATAACAAGGACATGACCGTCGATCGTCTTATAGTATCCACAGAACAGGACCTACTTCCAATGACCGCACCACAACAACTTCTTTATACGGACTCTTGGGATGAAGTCATTTTAGCATCCATACCCTCTCAGCTACCGGAAGAACAAACCGAACCGGAAAGCGAAACTGAGAGCGATGAACCCGAGGCCGAAAGCAAAGTTTCCGAAACGAAAACAGAGGCAGAACAGGAGACTACACCTCCTTATGCACTACGAAGCCGAGGACCAGTATCAGACCAACCATGGGTTATGCCACGACCCAGTCGTAGCCGTATACCTCGCTTTATTTCTCCTGCCACTGTCCTCCCCTTAAACCTTTAAATCATTAGTATACAGGTTGATAGTG